CGTCGGTTAAGGGTACTCATAATAGGGGTACTCCTAAACGTACTTGTAATGAATTGTAAGTATTGTATTTAAATAGGAATGAAAATAAATATAAAGCGATTTAGATATTTTCAAAAATATAAAACTATTTTTAACTAAAATATAGTTTTATTAATGTGTAGCGTTCGTATAAATATAAGAATTTATAATTGTTTTAAAGCTTATGTATGAATGAAGCCTTACTCTTTGCGCTTTTGAGTAAATGAATTTAGAGACGTATGAGTATTTGTTTCAATGAGGTTGTGGTGATGTAATCTGCAATATTGATTCCGAACAACAGCTAATTTAATTAGATAAGAATGCATGTAGAGATACTCAAATAACACTTATAAATTAAACCAAAGATTTGGGGATATTATAGGGTGAGAGATGGATTAAAAATACGAAGACCAAAACGTAATTAAAGACGGAGTGGCCTTTTAATCAAGCCACGTTGCAGCGTCACGAATGAGTCGGCTCGACCGCGTAAAGACAACACACATTCTGTGCTGTCAGCGTGAAATTTAAGCATTATGCTGCTATGTTTCAAATTCAGGCATTCCATTTTAGTGTGCAGGGTTGACAGTGCATTTTGATACATAATCGAGGATGGATATTGGTGTCTACGGACCACATGAATTACTTACCATCAAGTAATTTCGTTTGTCGGCCTTATTTCTACATAAAAGAATTATTTTTATATTTATGTCACAAATAAATTCAACGTACGAATACATGTTGAATTTTATACTACTCGTGAAGTATGAATTATTTATATTAATTGTCGGCTTATATACTAGTAATTGTTCACTGTGCTAATAATGAATAAGTGTACGTTTTTATAGGTGATTAATTAAATAACTAATGTATAAATAAATATAATATTAAATATTATATATGAAAACCTAATGAAAGAATAGTGGCTCTTTTTTAAACGATTACATTTTTGATGTTTTCTTCTTTGTTCGAGATGTTAGACAATCAGCGCTAATTGAATTTCATCAAAAAACAAGTTAAATCACCGTTTAATTCTCCGGGTAATTCTAACATGTTATTTTAAAATAAAATAAAATGAATTTATTTCAGACTTTTGATCCATAAGAGAGTTAGTACAAAACTACAACTACAACTACACTGTGACATTAATTTAAATATTAATTATTTTGTACGATAAATCCGTGTTTTAATAGTGAGAGTAGTCTATATCAAGTCGTGATTCCCAGGTTCAAATCTTACGCAAAGTTAGAGTTAGAGTGGAAGACTAGAACTAAGTTAAAACTTGCTAGGCTTATCTTCTATGAAATACATAACGCTAAAGCGGTATGTTTTGTCACAAACATTTCTTGAACCCAGTACCTTCAAAGTACCTATGCTAACTATTATGATAAAAACATCGGTTCGGGGGAGGTGAAAATAAAAAGGTGCTTTGATATCTCCGTTTATACTTGCGGCACTTGTTTTATATACTCTGTAGCAACTTTCAGCACTATTAAAAAGTTACCCACCGTTAAGTGGCACTGAAGGTTATCCGCTACACGATATCATCCCGTGGGTTTCGGAAAAGGCGACAAAGGGAAACATACCAGGAGATGGGCAGCAGCGTCATCCTAATAACAACTAAACGTAAAAAAACTAAGGTTGCCTAACCGTCTGTCGAGCGTGGCAAGTATGACAAAACAGAAGTAAAGCTTAGCTCAGGAGTTCTCAAACTTTTAAGGTATTGAAACCCTCACCAAATTCCTTTGATTTTTGGAACCCCACGTCAAATGTTTACATATTATAGACACTGCAAATTAAATATTATAATATAATTCCCTTTAACTACTTACGTATCTTTATAACAGTAACAGTAATGGGTTTTCCTCATCACATATTTTGTGCTAATTCTGAATTCTGAAATTATTTAACAAGCAAAAATAAATAATTTTGCGGGACCCTGGTGACATTTCCACGGAACCCACTTTAGGAATATCTGGCTTAGCTACAGACCTACATACATCCATTCGTGGTGCAGTCATAATATCCTTCAGCACGAGTATACCACGTAACGGACACATACCATACACAAACATACATAAAAGTAATTTATATAACTGAAAGACGAACGAACTTACAGTGTACCTGATGGTTAGTGGCTACTGCACTTTGGTCACTTGCAGCCAACTTCAAGCAAAGATGGCTACAGATGCGTTGTCTTCTATGAGGACTAAGACGAATTGGGGGGGGGGGGGCACCTACGCAGCTCCTAGAAGTAAAGGAGTTCTACCACATTAATAATAGCGTAATATAGTTATTGTACGTTGAATTTTTAACTACTACAAGAACATGCTTGACTCCACCTTGAACGACGTATATGTTGTAATTTATTGTAAAAAAGAATCTAAAATTATTCCATTTTTTTTATATCCGATTTGACAACCGTTACAACCACTTACAATTTCACCGCTGAACATAGGCCTCATAGGGAGGGATGTTATGTTTTTATGTAATCATATCTTTATATGGTACAGTAATGAGGTTGTTTACTTAGCATTTAAACAAAACGATTAAAAATTCCTTCTTTGACAATAAAACCCAAATTATTTATATATTATCTAGATTATTTGATCTTAAAACTTTATATACGTTTCAGATCGTATTTTGTGCTGCCAGCGAAAGCGTCACGAGGCGCGACAGTTTGAGGCTCACTTGGTTGACAAACAGTTCACTTACATGCAACGATGGGACTTATGCAGGGTAAGAAAAGCAGCAGTTATAATCACAATATGTTATATTATGCTGGGTAAGAAATAGCAGCTGTTATTGTCAAAGTATGTTATATTATGCTGGGTAAGAGACAGCAGCTGTTATTATCAAAGTATGTTATATTATGCTGGGTGAGATACAGCAGCTGTTATTATCAAAGTATGTTATATTATGCTGGGTAAGAGATAGCAGCTGTTATTATCAAAGTATGTTATATTATGCTGGGTGAGATACAGCAGCTGTTATTATCAAAGTATGTTATATTATGCTGGGTAAGAGATAGCAGCTGTTATTATCAAAGTATGTTATATTATGCTGGGTAAGAAACAGTAGCTGTTATTATCAAAGTATGTTATATTATGCTGGTTAAGAGATAGCAGCTGTTGTTATCAAAGTATGTTATATTGTGCTGTGAAAGATACAGCAGCTGTTATTATCAAAAAATGTTATATTATGCTGTGAAAGAAACAGCAGCTGTTATTGTCAAAGTATGTTATATTATGTTGAGTAAGAAACAGCAGCTGTTACTATCAAAGTATGTTATATTATGCTGGGTAAGATACAGCAGCTGTTACTATCAAAGTATGTTATATTATGCTGGGTAAGATACAGCAGCTGTTATTATCAAAGTATGTTATATTATGCTGGGTAAGAGACAGCAGCAGTTATTATCAAAGTATGTTAGATTATGATGTGAAAGTAACAGCAGCTGTTATTGTCAAAGTATGGTATATTATGCTGAGTAAGAAACAGCAGCTGTTATTATCAAAGTATGTTATATTATGCTGGGTAACAGATAGCAGCTGTTATTATCAAAGTATTTTATGTTATGCTGAGTAAGAAACAGCAGCTGTTATTGTCAAAGTATGTTATATTATGCTGGGTAACAGATAGCAGCGGTTATTATCAAAGTATTTTATGTTATGCTGAGTAAGAAACAGTAGCTGTTATTGTCAAAATATGTTATATTATGAGCATTGAGCATCTAAAGCATACCGGGGTCCACCTGTCCAGAGTTCTTGCCATTTTATATACATTTTGTACAGGAAATGCGTACTTACTAGTAGAGATGATGAGGACTGTGGTGGTACCGATTGTGAAGAGTAAAACTGGTGCCCTAAGCGACACGAGCAACTACAGGCCCATGTCTCTAGCCACAGTTGTTGCTAAAGTTCTTGACGGTTTGCTTAATACGCAGCTTGACCGGTATGTAACCACTCATGACAATCAATTTGGTTTTAAACCGGGACTATCTACTGAGTCAGCTATCTTGCGTTTAAAGCAAACTGTCAAGTATTACTCCAAAAGCAGCATAGCTATTTATGCCTGTTTCCTCGACCTCTCAAAGGCGTTTGACCTAGTTAGTTATGACATGTTATGGCAAAAATTAAGAACATCTCAATGCCTCTGGAACTGACAGAAATCTTCAAGTACTGGTAGTACCAGGTCAACATCGTTCGATGGTCGGGTGCTCTGTCGGAGCCATACAGGTTGGAGTGCAGGATGAGGCAGGAGGGTTGACCTCGCCAAAGCTCTTAACTATCTCACTATTGTACCTGTACGTGAGCGCACTGATACTCAGCAGCACCCGTGTCGGCTGCCATATTGACGGTATTTGTATTAATAATATTAGTTATGCCGACATGGTACTGCTGAGTGTCTCGGTGTGTGGTCTATCTAGGTTGCTGGGAGACTGCGAGTGTTACGCGCTGAATCACGGGTTGCTCTATAACGCAAAAAAGAGTGAATGCATGGTCTTTCGGGCCAGCGGGCGAGGCTGCTCGGAGACTGTTCCACTTATTAGACTGAACGGTTTCGAGTTAAAAAGAGTCGAATAGTTTAAATATCTCGGAATTATCGTGGCCCCTGACCTGAGGGAAGATGCGGATATCGATAGGGGAGTAGGGAGTTGTCTGTGAGGGCCAATATGATCGCCCGCAGGTTTGCTCATTGCACGGGGGCCGTCAAAATAACTCTTTTTCAGAGCTTTTTGTACGTCCCTGTGGCCAGCCTGTGGGTGTCACATACCCAGAAGCAGTAAAACGCACTCCGTGTGCATAATAATATTGCGTTCAGGGTGTTGTTGGGGCTGCCCGGGCACTGCAGCGCGTCAGGGATGTTCGCCGACAACCGTGTCGACTGTTTCTACACAAGGATGCGAAAGCGGCGCACATCTCTGGGGACTACCTCCAACACCATCTTGAGCGTATTTGCGAACAGGTTTGATTTTTTATTCCATGATGTTATATGGACAAACACACAAATGACTTAGAGGCAGACATATTATGATTATTATAATAATGTTAAATGGTGTTTTGTTTTAATTGTTGTTTAATAATTTTAATTAAATATAATTAAATTTTATTTTAATTTAATTCATATGTAATTCAAAATTTAAACTTCATTTTAAATGTACTACTGTAACTATGATCTGATGGATTGAAATAAATGATTATTATTATTATTATGCTAGGTAAGAAACAGTAGCTGTTATTATCAAAATATGTTATATTATGCGGGGTAAGACACAGCAGCTGTTATTATCAAAGTATGTTATATTATGCTGGGTAAGAAACAGCAGCTGTTATTATTAAAGTATGTTATACTCGTATTATGCTGTGAAAGAAACAGCAGCTGTTATTATCAAAGTATGTTATATTATGCTGAGTAACAGATAGCAGCTGTTATTATCAAAGTATGTTATATTATGCTGGGTAAGAAACAGCAGATTTTATTATCAAAGTATGTTATATTATGCTGAGTAAGAAACAGCAGCTGTTATTATTAAAGTATGTTATACTCGTATTATGCTGTGAAAGAAACAGCAGCTGTTATTATCAAAGTATGTTATATTATGCTGAGTAACAGATAGCAGCTGTTATTATCAAAGTATGTTATATTATGCTGGGTAAAAAACAGCAGATTTTATTATCAAAGTATGTTATATTATGCTGAGTAAGAAACAGCAGCTGTTATTATCAAAGTATGTTATATTATGCTGAGTAACAGACAGCAGCTGTTATTATCAAAGTATGTTATATTATGCTGGGTAAGAAACAGCAGATTTTATTATCAAAGTATGTTATATTATGCTGAGTAAGAAACAGCAGCTGTTATTATCAAATTATGTTATATTATGCTGTGTAAGAGATAGCAGCTGTTGTTATCGAAGTATGTTATATTATGCTGGGTAAGAAACAGCAGCTGTTATTATAAAAGTATGTTATATTATGCTGGGAAAGAAACAGTAGCTGTTACTGTCAAAGTATGTTATATTATGCTGGGTAAGAGACAGCAGCTGTTATTATTAAAGTATATTATATGTTGCTGGGTAAGAAACAGCAGCTGTTATTATCAAAGTATGTTATATTATGCTGAGTAAGAAACAGCTGCTGTTATTATCAAAGTATGTTATATTATGCTGAGTAAGAAACAGCTACTGTTATTATCAAAGTATGTTATATTATGCTGAGTAAGAAACAGCAGCTGTTATTATCAAAGTATGTTATATTATGCTGAGTAACAGATAGCAGCTGTTATTATCAAAGTATGTTATATTATGCTGGGTAAGAAACAGCAGATTTTATTATCAAAGTATGTTATATTATGCTGAGTAAGAAACAGCAGCTGTTATTATCAAAGTATGTTATATTATGCTGAGTAAGAAACAGCTGCTGTTATTATCAAAGTATGTTATATTATGCTGAGTAAGAAACAGCTACTGTTATTATCAAAGTATGTTATATTATGCTGAGTAAGAAACAGCTACTGTTATTATCAAAGTATGTTATATTATGCTGAGTAAGAAACAGCTACTGTTATTATCAAAGTATGTTATATTATGCTGAGTAAGAAACAGCTACTGTTATTATCAAAGTATGTTATATTATGCTGAGTAAGAAGCAGCTACTGTTATTATCAAAGTATGTTATATTATGCTGAGTAAGAAACAGCTGCTGTTATTATCAAAGTATGTTATATTATGCTGAGTAAGAAACAGCTACTGTTATTATCAAAGTATGTTATATTATGCTGAGTAAGAAACAGCTACTGTTATTATCAAAGTATGTTATATTATGCTGAGTAAGAAACAGCTACTGTTATTATCAAAGTATGTTATATTATGCTGAGTAAGAAACATCAGCTGTTATTATCAAAGTATGTTATATTATGCTGAGTAAGAAACAGCTGCTGTTATTATCAAAGTATGTTATATTATGCTGAGTAAGAAACAGCTACTGTTATTATCAAAGTATGTTATATTATGCTGAGTAAGAAACAGCTGCTGTTATTATCAAAGTATGTTATATTATGCTGAGTAAGAAACAGCTACTGTTATTATCAAAGTATGTTATATTATGCTGTGAAAGAAACATCAGCTGTTATTATCAAAGTATGTTATATTATGCTGGGTAAGAAACAGCAGATTTTATTATCAAAGTATGTTATATTATGCTGAGTAAGAAACAGCTGCTGTTATTATCAAAGTATGTTATATTATGCTGAGTAACAGACAGCAGCTGTTATTATCAAAGTATGTTATATTATGCTGAGTAACAGACAGCAGCTGTTATTATCAAAGTATGTTATATTATGCTGGGTAAGAAACAGCAGATTTTATTATCAAAGTATGTTATATTATGCTGAGTAAGAAACAGCAGCTGTTATTATCAAATTATGTTATATTATGCTGTGTAAGAGATAGCAGCTGTTGTTATCGAAGTATGTTATATTATGCTGGGTAAGAAACAGCAGCTGTTATTATAAAAGTATGTTATATTATGCTGGGAAAGAAACAGTAGCTGTTACTGTCAAAGTATGTTATATTATGCTGGGTAAGAGACAGCAGCTGTTATTATTAAAGTATATTATATGTTGCTGGGTAAGAAACAGCAGCAGTTATTATCAAAGTATGTTATATTATGCTGAGTAAGAAACAGCTGCTGTTATTATCAAAGTATGTTATATTATGCTGAGTAAGAAACAGCTGCTGTTATTTTCAAAGTATCTTATATTATGCTGAGTAAGAAACAGCTACTGTTATTATCAAAGTATGTTATACTATGCTGAGTAAGAAACAGCTACTGTTATTATCAAAGTATGTTATATTATGCTGAGTAAGAAACAGCTACTGTTATTATCAAAGTATGTTATATTATGCTGAGTAAGAAACAGCTGCTGTTATTATCAAAGTATGTTATATTATGCTGAGTAAGAAACAGCTGCTGTTATTATCAAAGTATCTTATATTATGCTGAGTAAGAAACAGCTACTGTTATTATCAAAGTATGTTATATTATGCTGAGTAAGAAACAGCTACTGTTATTATCAAAGTATGTTATATTATGCTGAGTAAGAAACAGCTACTGTTATTATCAAAGTATGTTATATTATGCTGAGTAAGAAACAGCTGCTGTTATTATCAAAGTATGTTATATTATGCTGAGTAAGAAACAGCTACTGTTATTATCAAAGTATGTTATATTATGCTGAGTAAGAAACAGCTACTGTTTTTATCAAAGTATGTTATATTATGCTGAGTAAGAAACATCAGCTGTTATTATCAAAGTATGTTATATTATGCTGGGTAAGCAACATCAGATTTTATTATCAAATTATGTTATATTATGCTGGATAAGAAACAACAACTGTTGTCATAGTGTTATATTTTTCTCTGATTTGTTTTTTTATCGTTTCAGATATTATTTTCGGCGCGGAACCAACAATCAACATTGGGTGTTATACTTGGAGGGAGGTGGTTACTGCTGGGACACGGCTTCTTGCAATGCTCGTTGGCGACGGCGTCCTGGTTTGATGTCATCTATGAGATGGCCTCGTGCGCGTCGTGCTCCCGCTGTGCTGTCCGCCGATCCAGTTATCAACCCATTATGGCATACATCAAATCACGTCCTTCTGCCTTATTGCTCCAGCGACATGTGGGCCGGCACTCGCATAGAACCAAGAGTAAACAGTAATTTTACCTTTGTTGGCCGCCTCATTGTCCGTTCAGTTCTTACAGATCTTCTCCAGATTGGGCTAGCCGGCCGACTATTATTAATTGGATCGAGCGCTGGCGGAACCGGTGTTATGTTAAACGCAGATGCAGCAAGAAGAGCACTTCGGCCATATGGAGTTCGCGTAGCCGCAATTGCTGATTCTGGATGGTTTTTAGACCGGCCAGCAAAAGCGAAACGCTCATCCTCAACTGACGCTGTTGCCAGATTGGGGCACTCTTTCTGGCGCGGGTCGCCACCAACATCTTGCATGCGGGAATATCCTGATAAACCGTGGTTGTGCTACTTCGGATATCGCCTGTATCCTCATATACGGACTCCCCTATTTGTATTTCAATATCTTTTTGATTCTGCTCAACTCACAGCAGAAGGTGTACGGGCACCAAGAACGCGTGCACAATGGGATGCTGTACATCAAACTGGTGCTGCTTTACGATCGAGCCTGAAGACTGTAAGAGCAACATTCGCTCCAGCTTGCATAGCGCATGGCGCATTAGCTCGGCCCGAGTGGTTAGCAATTAATGTATCAGGTGTACCGTTACCACGAGCGATATCTTGTTGGGAGCGGCGACTTGAAGTAGGAGGTAATCAAGGAAGAGTGCGCTGTGCCCCGCGAAGACTTATCGAGAGATGTTCGTGGCCCCAGTGCAATGGGTCGTGTCCTCGGCTTCGTGATCCACGAACCGGGGAAGAAGTAGCACTTGCGGCGTTGCTTCAAAGTTTCGGTTTGGACGTTCGAGGAGCTGCCGCCGCAATGGGGCTCGACGCTCGGCAACTTGCACGCATGAGTCGGGCCGAGCTGTTGCCACTTCTGGCACCACATACCTGACTCTATCTGTTTAGTATTTAAGTGCTTTATTGCACAGTGGATCTACCTCGTTTTTGTTACAAGTACAAGTATTTTATACGTTTAGCTACTATTTATTATTACCGATACTTTGGTATCCTTATTTATATAAGTAAAAAGAAGGTATTTTAATAGGTATATCTTTTATTTGTTCTTCCTTTTCTCTATAAAAAATGTAAATTACACTACAATATTAATATTTGACCGTAAAAGGTCGTATAATTTACACAATCTGTACAAAATCATTCCTACTAGAGGAAAGACTGACTAGTTCATTGCTATTAATAAAAAACTTATAGAATATCTCACTATTGTATCCTTTTTTATGCACTAATATAATGTATTGATGTACACCGTTTACGACGGATGATTCTGATCATTATTTAACTAGACAAATTGGTGTGGTAAGAATAGATGCCGGTGCGGCTTGGAGCGGTTCCGATGTGGAAGCCAAGGAGAGCGACGGATAGCTAACGAAGTGCGACCTCGCTGTGACCTATTTACCCGGAGACCTCCTTTACGGGGGTGAGTGCCTCGTCGTCATAATCGAGCTCCGCGTTCGGTGCTAAGAGCTATAGAAAGGTCGATGACATCATTGGCCAAGAAAAAATCGGTGGAGATAATATTAGCTTGTTGTCGCCAGTGGGTAACAAGGCGTGCGGTTACGTTGCGATTTACAGCGTCAGCGTTCATTCGCAGTGAACCTCGCAGTAAAAGTATATCGAACACTGTAGGAGTAGTTTGCGCCATAGCTGAGTGAAGCGGCGACCGCGCGTTAGGGTGCGGTGACATGCTTATCGCCTCATCTAAGTACTGGAACAGTTCCGATGGATTGTTTGTGTTCGCCCATAGATGTGGTAGAATCGGCCATAGCCAGGTGTTTTCTGAAAACGATTATAATAAGTTACATGTAGATATTGTTTGTGTGATGGAATAACACAAAATTATGTAGATATTTTCAAACTCGTTAAACCGTAAATAGTTGAGAATTGACAATATAAATAGGCACGCTACACAAGTGAGTTGTCTATTGTGCTATAACAGGCATTTTGTTATGGAATATGGTATGGGTAACAAACGAGCACACAGTCCATCTGATGGTAAGTGGATGCTGTGGCCCATAGACATCTACATTTATCCTCGATTAAAAATCAAAATGCAGATGCGTTGTCACCCCTGAGGACTAAGATAGAATGACTCGTTTCCAGTAAAAAGGGTCTCCGGTTCTCTACATTCACCATACGAAACAACAGCATTAAGCTGCTATTTGCGCTTGTATTCTGCGAGAGCGTTGTTCTACCCCGGTCGAGCCGACCAATTCGTGCTACAACCATAATATAGCTGCAGCGTGGCTCTACCACGTAAAATAATTCGTTACATTTCGCAGCTCTAATGCTGCCATCTATCGAAGACCGTGAGAACTTCCAGTTTTACAACCACGGCACAACTAGAACTGATGAATTTTCTAATGCCACCACGATGTTTTAGTGTATGTAGATACCATGTAGTGTTATTTATATGTTTTTTATAAATAAGGATCTAGTGTCTTATCTTTTTTTATTCGTAGGCGGTTAAACGCACTTGTTTAATATAGGCCTATTCACTCGTCCCTAAAGCACTTGCCTTACATAATTGTGTTAGATATACATCGTGAAGTTCTATTAAAATCTATAAGGTAACATAACGTTAAAGAGAGGCGACGTAAAGGAATCCATCACACAATTTCGTCCCATGAGTGTTGTAAGAGGCTACTAGCTGATGGTATTAACATCTAACAATAACTTTTATGATAGTATAAAATATCCCCTTATATTGAGGCTTAACAGTCATAGAAGATTCGGCCTAATCCCATGTAATAATAATATGGGCGATAAAGTATGACTCGGAAGTGTGTTAAAAATACAGAGATGATTAAACGCACGATTACATTCACACACAAACACCCGCAGGCGGACATGCACGCTCGGACACAGGCTCGCATACACACGCAGACGCGCACGGACGCACGATGATCTTTAATAGTAATAATTAATATTAAAGTTCATCTGCTGATGTGATTATTACCTGCTATCAAATATTATCATATAATGTAATACGTTATATGATTGAACGTTTGACCGATTAGGGATTACAATAGATTAGTTAACAAAATCGATTAATCGCTACTTGTTTTGAAAAGGAAATAGATGTCTGATAGTTTAATCAGTGTTATTGAATGAATGTCAGAGATGTTTGTTCAAATAATATAAAGATTAATTAAATTAAATATTTAAAATTACTTATAGGTCCCATGTTTATGCGGGGCTTACAATAGAAAATAATTTTCCAACAGTGTTACATGCTTACATGCCTAGCTTGTCGTAAAAGACCAATAATGGAATATAGGGTTAGTACTTGTGTAGGCCATAGGTTAGCCACCTATCGCTTCTTTCGCATCTTTCCATCTATATTTCAACTTATTTAAACTATTTTATGTGGTAGAGCCACGCTGCAACTATATTATGGTTGTAGCACGAATGGTTCGGCCTCGATAGGCGTAGTACCAGTAATAGGGTGGATGGCCCCTATTACCAGCCTTTTAGTGCCAATTTCAACTTTAAATATTCCTGCTATATTATTAGGGCACAATATTTTTAAACATTTGTTTCAATCGATAGGTTATTTATGGACAAATGTAATGATCATTTATTTACAATCATATTATTTCAAGAACAATTTTAAAAACGACGATAAGCAAAAAAGGCATTATGGCTTAAATTCCAAACATCCTGAAGCGAATGTAGTCCTTTTGTGTACCTAATGCCAGCATAGCATAGGGCTATGCCTTTTGAGTTTTTGGTAGGTACCTATTGTAGGTAAGTTTTAGAGGCACAGTAATAAATCCGTAACAACTTTTAATTTTAAATCTGCATGTCACAAGCATGGAATATCCCAAGCAGCATGCAAGCTGTATAGGAGTTGTATTGAAGTTCCTTTTTATACTAGAGGCTGCATTTACTGGCCGTACAAAGGCTGTATAAGCGCTTATACAGCTCTTATAAGTAAAAAATTGGCACAAATTATACAGCTTTATACGTTAGTAGCGCTATACAGTAGCTGTACAAGCACAAATGGGGCTGTATAATAGGTGTATTATAGCTGTTATTTATTGTACAAGGAAACTATTACACTACAAATACTATCTTATAAGTGTCTTTTAAAGACAAACGTTCTAAATTGGCGTTTGAACGGTATCACAAATGAATTTATGACAAACATAACTTAATAGATTTATTTATATGCTTTATTGAAAGGTGGCGACATTTAGTGAGTGAAAGATTATATTACATATTAATATTACTTGGATTGGAGTTGAGACTTTGACGGTGATAACTGGTGAATAGAAAGCGCAAAATTAGATTTACGGTAAACTTGTGTATGATTTCTATCAAAAAATTGCCGCGCTAGCAAAATAACGAAATAATATAAGGACAAAATACTAAATATGGTAAGTAAATATTGATTTTATAGGTTAGAATAAGAAAATAATTAAATTAGTGAATATGAATGCATATTGGGGCACAGTGATCATTCATTCTAAAAATAATGGTTTAGGTTAAAACTAATGTCTCATATTCCCAAATTTACAATTAAAATTTCGTTTTTATAGGTCCTAAAATGGCGACAATTTGTTAAACAGCTTAAACGATATTTCGAGGGTCTTATAGTCTTAGTAGCTGTACTAAGTACGTTATGGATTCTATTATACAGCCATTAGTTTTTAATTAGCTATATAATATAATATTTTGATTACTAACGCTGTATAGTAGATTTTAAAACATCACAGATAATTGTCTTTAGAGATATGTATAAAAGATGAAAAACCTTTGTCTTAGAAACAACACTTTTATCCCTTCTTCACTTAATTTCATTTAAATAATAATATTTTAAGATGTAACCGTGTTTTAATAATTTTGTTGTTTTATTTTATGGGCAAGGACAAAAAAGTGCTTACTTTAATCACTTATTTTAAGACAGAGACTATATAAAGCTACACATACAGAGTTAATAGATTGAAAAAATATTTTTTCATTTTTGTACCAACCTAAAACCATCGATTTAATCGAAATGATTGTATTTATTGGCAATAAATTACTATCCCTTTGATTCAGTTAAATTCACAAACCAAACCAAAAATATGACTACCTTAGCAAATAAAGATTACCTATACATCTTTTCTTTCTAATGTTAAAAAGTGGAGTAAAGAATTAAAGCTATCCCTTGCTTTGCCAAACAATATTAAGGAAGGTACATTTTATGACAGAATATTTTATCTCGCTCAGGAGTACGGTACCAGTACGAGCATGCTTTTTATTTTGTTATTGTGTTTATTTAGTTGATAGGTAACTCCTGGCAAGCGCATACGCATGTCGTTATCTATTCATACTCTTACGTCACGTAGGTACGGCAAAACCAAAAGAGTAAGCTATTTTATTTGATACATAATTTAACTTATTGTGTAGTAATTTGTCTGTGTTGTGTATCTTATACTGGTTTTATTTTACTTTTTAGGAAAATATGCCGTTTAAAATTTTGGAAACCACAGAGAAAAGGAAAAATTGCATTTTCATTGTACCAAGTTTGTGGGAATCAAAAGGCGTTTTAAGATGGCCAAAAAAGCGATTAGATGCTAATAATAGATTTTTTGAAAATTCGATGTTATCATCATTTGAACTACTTGTGCTGCTGCATGATAAATCATCATAATCAGGTGCCGAAAACTAAGTTACATTTGACATAACTGTGATCATGATTAACACTGCTTAATGTTTTTGTTACGGAACCCTCTTTGTTAGCCGTCGATGGGATTGAAGCTAGATTGTAGCTTGTCTGATTTATTAAAGTATTTCAGTATTCTTGGTATCACTATTATTTCGTTGATAATTTGTAATATTTAAATATTCCCTATTAATCCTTCTTCTAACTACACCAAATCTTATTCTTTTTTTACACATATTGATAACAAATTAATTTGTTCACTATAGCACAATATATTAAACATGCAATTACGCATTCAAAATGGCGATATTTTATCACTTATACAGACTTAATCTGTACTATAGCTGTCATTTATTTTTTTAGTTTTATATCACTCTCATAGACATAGGTTATAAAATTACTGTATTTACAAGAGTGTACAATTACGCCATAAGAATAAGTTTTAGAAGGGAGTTCACATACACCATTGTACAGAAATAATATTTGAATGATACTATTATAACGCTTAAAGCTGTAATAAGCAAGTGACAGCATGCAAAAACAGCTTCTATACAGCTTTAATGATAAAATCAGATTGAAGTGTTAGAAAATACTTAAAGCTGTATAGTAGAGTGTTCATATTCTGATTAAGAACCCTAAGCTTACTCAGATCCCATAATACAGACTTTATACAGCTTGAGCTGTATAAAAACTCATAAACCACTCTTATAAGGGTACGACATATTTTTTTTCTTTTTCAAAAACTCTTATACGCTTCTAATATAACTCTAAGTTCTATATGGGCTGGTATATTGATGTTCATATCTCATGTGTGCTGTTTGGGATGTATTAAGGCATACGACAACATTATTTTAATGTTTTACTACTTAACTTACTGTGTTTTAGTTTAAATCTGTTCAATAAATTAAAGCAAATTATGATAAGATATTATGTAGTACATCGATTTCTAATAATTTAATCATCCCAGTTTTCAAATCATCATCGTCATTACAACCTTACACAAGTCCACTACTGAACATCCTCCTCCATAGACTGCTGCAAAGCCTGGTCCTAAAACACTTTCCTTATCATGAGTTTTTCATTTATGTTCTAGGTTATAATTAGTATTACTAAGTTATAGTTTTTG